TATTGTCATTTTTAATTATATGTAATTATGATATTTTATTTGACACTTATATTTATATGCTAACTTGTTGACATAGCCTACGCGTTACGTTTCTCATTTGCTTGGACATGAAGGAGAGGGCTCACTATTGTCAGCTTTGAAGGCCAGGAGTTGGTGTAACTCGCTGGTATCTGGAAAACGCCGTGGCGCCAAAGGCTTCAGTTTCTTTAGTATTCTTGTCGATCTGACCGAAGAAGGTATTAAGCATATTGAAGATATTGTTCAGCTGGTGTTTCAGTACATCAATATGCTTAAGATGAAAGGCCCGATCGAATGGATCTACGATGTAATTGATGAAATATAATTTTACATAGAGTGCCCGATAAATTGTAATAATTGCAATTTACCGGACATTCTGCATTTCAATATTGTTACATATAGAGTAACACGATTTTGTATTTGCAGGAATACCGAGATATTGCAAGTACGAATTTTCGTTTCAAGGAGAAGTCGTCGCCTCGTACATATGTGTATTCTACGGTTCAAGCCCTGCACGAATATCCCATGAACGAAGTTTTGTGCGCGGAACATATTTTGAGTGAGTGGCGACCGGATTTGATCGACGAAATAATGACATATTTATCGCCGAAAAATATAAGGATTCACGCCGTCGCAAAAGCGTATGAAGATATAGTTAATGAATCCGAAAGTTGGTATGGCACTAAATATAAGAAAGAGAAGGTATCTGAAGAAACAATGGACATGTGGAACGTCGCTGGTTACAACACAGACCTGAAATTGCCTCCCAAGAATGAATTTATAGCGACTGCGTTTGATATCAAGCCACACAATAATGTAATTAAAATTTTATCTTATTCTATAATATTAATCCTTGAGCGATTAATCTTTGGTCACTTGGCAATAATCAAATCAAAATCCTCGTAAAATTATAAAATTTGATTTGAAATAGAATCGAATGTTAATGTAGCTTAAAATAAATTCTGTATTTTATACATATATAATTTTTGATGCAATAATAAATATTATAAAATGCATTTTGAATATATTTTGCTGCACTAACTGTATAAAAATATATGTAAATGTTTAAGGATTAATTTATACAAAACAAAACCAAGCGATCGTAATACAAATGAGAAAAGTAATGCAGAAATTTGTATTTTAACTTGTTTGTGCACTTGGAATTGTTCTTTGCCTTATTATCGATTTTGATCTCATTCTGTGTTTATTATATATTCTGTGTTATTATACATATTAACAGCAGAAATTTTATAGGTAGAAAAGTTTCCTATTATTTTGGAGGATACACCGCTTGTAAGACTTTGGTTTAAAAAGGATGATGAATATCTTGTGCCGATGGCAAGGATGATGTTCGATTTTATCAGGTATGTGTTAAGTGTGATTATAAGAAATACATCGCTGTTCTAATCGAATATGCAAAATCGAAATATTTTTAAATAAGGTTTTTGAGATATTCCGGGCAACTTATACAAATTGCAATAATGAAATAATTTAAATTATTAATACACGATATAATCAAATTAGTAGATATTAATATACATACTTTGAAAGTTAACAAACTGATTATCTTTGGAATTATATTATTATATTTAAAAAATAAACAATTGAAATAATATTATAATCTTATCTTTTATAACGGAAAGAAAACATTTTCTCTTAATATACATTGTTTGTTTAATTTATAGCCCGTATGCCTATATGGATCCTCTTAGTTGCAATTTGACCCATATGTTTGTTCAGCTGTTTCGTGATTCTATTAACGAATATGCATATGCTGCTGAGTTAGCTGGTTTACAATGGGACTTTTCTAATTCTAAATATGGAATAACTGTGAGTATATATACATATGATAAAATAAGCAATAAAATATTGCATATTATTTACATACAGTTAGATATTATTTGAATTATCATTAAATTGTTATTCAATTTGTTGTTAATATAAGTAATATTTAAAAAATAAATGCTATTATATATATGTATGTATATGTATAAGAAATCTGATTTTTTCTTATTTATAATTTCTTACTCTCAATTATATTTCTATAATGTTTTATTCATTGTTTTATAAATAAGCATTTATAATCTTATGTTTTATTAAAAAAAGCATTCATAATTCAAAAGGAAGACCAATTGTTTTTCTAGCTTGGTATAGGTGGTTACGACAATAAGCTACGTGTGCTGTTGGAAAAAATCATGAACCGAATGATAACTTTTCATGTAGATCCAAAGAGATTTGAAATCCTAAAGGAAAATGTACGTACAATAAATGCAATCAGTCTTTAATTTAGTTAAGCAGCGTATTTATATAAAATCACTTTTGCACAGTATATCAGGAACTTGAAAAATTTCGCTGCTGAACAGCCATATCATCATGCTGTCTACTATCATATAGTCCTCTTGGAAGAGCAAGTTTGGCTCAAGGAAGAATTACTGGAAGCTACTGCTCGTAAGTGTAGAAGAGTATTGTTTCATAATTATATTTTATTAATAATTTTCTTTTTCTTCTTAAAACTTTTCCAATCTTTAGCATTTATTGATGACGTGTAATTAATATTTCTATATTATATAGATCTAACTGCCGACAGACTCCAGCGATTTATACCACAATTACTCAGTAAGGTGCATGTAGAATGCTTAATACATGGCAATGTATCTGTAACGGAAGCTACAGATCTAGTTAAACTAATTGAGAATAGGTTGACAACTTTAGTGCCTCACATACTACCCTTGTTACAAAAGCAATTACTATTGTATCGTGAAATTAAACTAGAAGATGGTAAGCGTATAACATGATCAAATCTCAGTTATAATAATTTGAAAAAATTAATATGCTTAAAGGGTTTTAATTCATATTAAGAGACGTAGTTTTAACATAAAAAATTTTATCGTTTCTGTCTTCTGACAGTTCATATTGATGCTAGGATTATTATGGAAATAAAGATAAAATATGAAAATACATTTTAATGTTCATCACAGGTTGTCAGTTTCTATTTGAAACGGAAAATAAATTTCATAAAAGTTCTTGTACAATGATATACTATCCAACTGATTTGCAATCAACGGAGTCAAATATGCTCTTAGAGCTCTTAGCACAAATTATTTCGGAACCTTGCTTCAATACTTTGAGAACTAAGGAGCAATTAGGCTATATAGTATTTAGCGGAGTACGTAGAACATCTGAAGCGCAAGGCTTGCGAGTCTTAGTGCAAAGTGATAAACACCCACGATATGTCGAAAGACGAATCGATTCATTTATAGATTCCATGCTGGTAAGTGTATAAGAACTTGTATAATAATTTATATTAATACATTGATTAATGAAATCATATTTTCTTTTTTTAAACTGCTCACAATATCTTATAATATTGTGATCAAATAAATGTCATTTTATGATTTACTGTGATAAAAAATATGAGGCTATATTTCTATTAAAATTAACATTGCTATAATTACATTTCAGGATTATTTATCTACCATGTCAGAAGAGCAATTTGAGGATTACAAAAAAGCTCTAGCTACATTACGTTTGGAGAAACCAAAAAAGCTAAGTGCTCGGTGCGCCTTATACTGGAATGAGATTATTGGCCAGCAATATAACTTTGATCGAGTAAATATTGAAGTAGCTTACTTAAAGACGATAACGCGGCAGCAGTTACTTAGTTTTTATAAGGTAATTATTTTATTTCAACATGCAGAATATATCATTCAGGAAAATGTTTTATCATGAAAAAAATAGGACAATATAGACTTTATGAGGTATAATTTTCAAAAAAATGATACTTGAAAAATTAATATCTAATATATAATTTTTTTAGAAACATGTACATAGTACAGCTCGACATAAATTGTCAATACATGTGGTATCTACGGCAACGGAAAATAATTCGTTTGATAACCACATAATCGAAAACTTTGCCGATTCATCAATCGATGAAGTAAAGAAGATCGACGATATCATGTCATTTAAAAATAGTCAAACTTTATATCCTCTATTACAACCATTCGAAAAATATTTTCTCAGAAAGGGCATACGCTCTTCTAAATTGTGAAAAAATGATAAAATAATAGTGAATTGAATGAATTTGATCATATGCATAATTTGAGAAAAAAAAACTTAACGCATTTTATAGAAATTAATAAATCACTTGCTAGCGTACTTAATATTTATAAAATTTAGCACATGCATGGAATTTATAAGTCACGACATATATGCTACAATTTATTGTTAAAAGACGATTTTATATTAGGCAATTTAATACACTATTTTAATTAACAAAATTTTGTGATCATTTTATACATCTTTTAAAGTAAAAGAAATTAGATTAATTAACTAGAAATAATTATAGATTCTCAATTAGGTCTCGATATCTGAAAAATTAGTATTTATCGCTTAAAATTATTTTTGAACTTACAAAATTTACTATTAAATATGATGATTTATATGTAAACGCTTAATTTAATGTAAAATTGCTTATATTGCAAATTTATAAATTAAATATAATACATATCTTTTTGATCTTATTTTTCTTCCTTTCGTATTTTTTTATAATAAATATTTTAGATAACGGAATTATTAATTGTAATCATAAAAAAATTTATTCGCGATTTTGTAATTAAATATTCGGCAAAAATCACATGTAAAACACGTAAAAGTATTTTTAACTACATACTCCTTGTTTTTAAATAATTAGAGTTATTTATAGTTATAATAAAACATTTTAATATTCTTCTAATATATGTAAGTATGTAATTTGCAAAAATTTTTTATTTTTATACAACATATAAATGCCTTATAAATCTATAAGTAAATGATAATATAAATGATAGATGTGAGATAATATCAGTTATAAATAAATCTTTCATATTTATATCTTATCTCTAGTCATCTCGTTTACAAAATGAAATGTTCATTATGTACAACTAAATATAAATGATATTAGTTATTATATTCACAAATTGAATATAATAAATATTTTTTCTTTTCCATTAAATAAATCGTTTTAAGTATCTTTTTTTCTTTGATATTTGTAATTTATAAAAATACTTATAACTTTTAATCGTTTCCTCACCGTTGACATCCAGTTTCAGAATCTGAAAGAACATTGCAATTATATCAATGAAGTTTCCTTACTTTTTTCTAATTAATTATTATTCTTTATTTAAAAAAACAAACGATTATAAAAATAAACTTGATTAGCTGTATAATTTCTTTAGAATAAGAAAATAATTATATAATGATATTTAAATATTAGTATTTTGTAATAATTAATAATAATTGATTTACCTGAACTTTCTCTTCGTTTGCGCTTCTGTCTATAATTTGAGACTTTCAACATTTTTGAATTTCTTTTGTCTTGAATTTTTTGTCGGTAGTTTTTTATAGATTTTGGCACAGAAGAAACAGTATCGTAAGTATTTGATACATTTGACTTTCTCGAATCTTGTGGCAATTTTTCTCGTACGGTTATAGTACTGATTTCTTTAATATTTACTACAAAATAAAATAATTTTTTTTAAATATTTACTACAAAATCAGTTACAAGAAAATTTCTCATACACCGCATAAAAGATATACAAAATAAAATATTGCGCTTCGTGAAAAATAAAACTTATTTTTCTATATATATAAACTTTTATTCTATAATTAAATATACGAAACGTAATATTCCCACTAACATTTGTCAAAAAGAAGAAAATTACTTACTTAGCTTGTAAGGCTTTCGTTTTTTGCCAGTAGCAAAAATGCAAGAAGTTGTACCCACTTCTTTGCACACGATTCTGTATTTACTTTTATTGAATTTTATCGATTTCTCTTTTAATGTCAACGGTTGGCCTTGTAAATTACTTTGTACTACCTATAAAAAAATAATTGAATTAATTTTGATCTAAAAAAACTTTTGAACAGATTTGCATAATTATATACGTGATCACTGATCAATTGTTTCAATCATTCGAATTTATTTTCGCAAATTAATAGAAAATTTATATTAAAATTAGAAATCTGCAATAAATGTTTGCCATTAACACTTATTTATTATAAGCCAATACATTCTCATTTTTAAAAAGTATACAAGTATACATTTTATGAAAAATAAAAAAATATACCTTGCTTGGAACGTTCATGATGAAAGCTTCTTCATTGTCAGAAAGATCGGCTAATGTGAAACTTGTTGGCATCGTTTCTATAACTAACTCTTGATCTTCGACTAATTGTTGTATCTAAAAAAAAGATAAGTCATATATAACAATTATACATAAGTCTCCGAATATTATTATATATAAATTAATGCCCATACAAATTTCATTCATATTTGTGAGCATCAATTAATGCAAAATATGTCAATCTTTTTGTTGATAGCTTTAATTCATTTTTTAAATTATTCTAAATAAATAAATTCCAAAATTTATTCTATCTTGCTGTGTGCAAAAAAATATATTTCAATGTATAAAAAGAAAAAGAAAAGAAGTCATATATGATTTTTTTCTGTTAAAACATTTCAAGATAAGAATAATTTTAATATTGCGATTTGAGTTACTTACATTGCGAGGTCTATACTGGCAAGATATATTAAGATGTGCGTTCGAACATTCGGTTGATGATTGTGTCCTTTGTTCATGTACAGATTCACGTCTTGTCTCAGATTCAACATTTGTTTCTTTTTTCTGATTAATACACATATTCTCTTTATCTAACAAAGAAGCTGGTCTGTCTCTTCGAAATTGATTAACAGATTCCTCAGTATTACACGAAATGTTACTTTCGGAAACTCTTAGCAGAAGGCTTTCGGTTAAGCTTTCCTGGCTTCCGACATCATCATTATCACTACAATGGCTCATACCTGAATTGTCAAAGCGTATTCGCGAAGTTTTGGTGGTAACATATTCGTCGTCGCTTTCACTGGAATCGCTCACAACTAAATTCAATCTCGCTTGCTGCTCAAGCCGCTTTTTAGTTTGAGGCGACATATAATTCACATTATCCTCTTCATTATCAGTTTCTAATGCCGTTGGTGTGTCAATCTCTTCACTTATTGTCGCTTCTTGCCAATTATCGGTACTGTGATCGATGGCATCTGGGCAATGTATTAATGTATTCTTTTTTACAGGAGTGTCTTTATTGCTGATGTCTGTATTATCATTAATATTATTAATTTTTTCATTATTACTCTCGATATCATTATCCTTCTTGTCTATTATCTTATATTTTTTATTGAAAACTTCAGTACATGTAACTTTAGGTAATTGCTGCTTTTTTACGTCCTTATCAATATCATTTAATTGGGGAAAATTCTTTTCTTCTTTCTTTTCATTTGCTTGTCCATTATCTTCTAAAATATTATGTACATCTTCTATGTGATTTTCCTTAGGCGATAGCACTTGCTGATTTTGAATATCGCACGAGTTTTTTGATTTCACAAAATCCGTTTGATCTTCGTTTGTCGAATAAATCTCTGTGATATTGCCACTCGAACTTAATTGACGGAAATTCTTTATTTCTTTTTCAGACTCTTCTTCCTCGCTATCTTGTTTCCCTGAAACATTGTAAAATTTTAAATATGTATTTTTTATATACGATTTTTCTTAGGAGAAAACAATTTCTGAGTTTTTACAAAATAATCTTACCTTCGTCATTAATTGAAGAAACCACATCGACCTCTGTATTATCCATCTTATTTAATTGAGAAGATAATTCTTCCTTCTCAGCAGGCTTCTTTATTTTTCCATTATCTTCCTTCTCTTGAATAAGATTGCAATGTTCCGAATGAGCTTTTTCCACACAATCTTGCTTAGGAGATAACAATTGCTGTTTTTGAATGTCATTTGAATGTTCTGCTGTTACAAATTGTTCATCTTTCTCATTTTCCTCAATTGTGTTCGTATCAGTTGGATTTAATTGGGAGGAATTTTTCATTTGTTCTTCTTCAGAATGTTTCTTTTCTTCTTCGACAACTTGTTCTCCTGAGATATCATTATTAAATCTCAAATGTGTGTCCTTTGCAATCTCTTTACAATCTTCCGTTGTTTCGACCAATTCGTCAGTCTTCTTCGGTTGCGGAGAAGAAATGGGCATTCTCTCCGCGGCATTTTCTTCCGTATTCTGATTCATTGAAACCTTATTAGATTTTTTGTTCTTGACAAATCTGTCTTGCGAATCTTCATCAATTCCCGAGTCTTTTTGCTGATCTGGTGACGAATCCTTCATCTCACGTATATCAATTCGTGTTTTCGTTACTGGTAACGGTGTACTATGTCGAAAATCTGTGATATCTGGAAGCAACTGATCACAGTTCAATTCATTTTCTACATATTTATCTGTTTTAACATCCTTATCATTATTCATAGAGTCGGCCTCTTCTAGCGCGGATGCCAAGTTTCTTCTAACATTTTTTAACAATTCTGGTTTGCGACTAACACACGTCTTATCATAATTCTTCGCGTTTATCAAACTTTCGTCAATTATTGTTGTTAATTTACTGTTACTGTTGTTAGTTTTCGATTCAACGAGGGAATTGAGCTCATTGTTAGAATCAATATTGTTTTCTAAACATTTCGATTGAGACAGAGACGACTGATAATGTGAGCCTGGTGAATCAAATTTAGTATTCGATTCATTACTTGTTGGACTTTGATTCTTTCGATTCTTTCTTTCATCGCTTATATCTGAAAAACTTACACGTTTTGTTTTCTTGAATCTCGTATTATCTTTGGAACTTAATTCATTCATTGCAACGGAATCTCTGCGATCCTGTCTCACGTATTCATTTCCAGCTGTAGCTATACTAGACGCCGTACTGTTTTGAGAATCGAATCGTGGAGAATGAGATTGCTTACTAGATCGAGCCTTGAGATCATTATCCTGCAAATCTCCTTCGTTATCCGCGATTCTTGTATACAGTCGTTTACACGAACGTGATGCACCGCTGGTTCTCTTTCTAACTTCTTGCCAACCTGTATCAATACATGTCTCGGACACTGCGGCATTCGATCGCAGTGATCTCTTTGTCCTCTCTACTCTTCTCCCTGTCTCGGACACTGCGGCATTCGATCGCAGTGATCTCTTTGTCCTCTCTACTCTTCTCCCTGTACTCGACTTGCCTCGGCTTTTCTTCTTCTGCTGGCTCTTACAACTTTTGCAGTCATCTTCGCTGGTAAAAACGGCGCAGTACTTCTCGGAATTTCTAGTCGTATATCTGGTCTGTTTCGACGGGGAGCTGTATATGATATCGTAGTCGCCATCGGTGAGACCACTACTGTCCTCGGTGTCGGCGTCGTCCGGTAAACTTCGCAGAACATTGGTCTTCAGTTCGACGTAGTGCCTGTAATCCTTCATGCCGCGACGCTTCTTCATCTCGGCGTTGAGCACCTTCGTCCTTCGTCGCAACACTCGCGACGGTCTGAATCTGTGTATCAGGGACTTCTCCGTCATTCTGTCCGCAACAGAATTGTCCGTCTTCTCCCACGTGACGCTCTCGTGAGAACACATGGCGCTTTAATATTTCCTTCTAAAAGCACAAAACGGCAAGTGTTGAAACAAATACAGACTCCTTCGCTCATTCGGAGGAAACTCACTGCTGCGGCGTGTCTTCGTTTTAGTAAGCGTCAAAGGGATAATTAAAATTGTCACTACGATACTGCGAAAGTAGTTTGTTAAATTTTTGATCTTGGGTGCTTCCAATATTCTATAACTGATTATCAAGGGCTTTCCAATATTTTACAACTAATGAAAAAGGTAACGTGTGAGGTTAGAAAATCAACCGTGCCGACCGCGAACACGTGAGAGTAATGCGGAGTAACGTTTCTCTCGGCAATAACGAAATGACAGTTTCGAGTGAGAGACGCTACAGCATGTTCCTTCAAGAGGCGGACTCCGTGAGAAATAACTGATTGTAATTTTCTAAGATAATTACCTTCGAAAGATTGAAAAACAATAGATTTTCTAACCTGAAAAAGCGGCACTTCTCTCTCAAATTCAATTTAAAGGATTGACGCTGATCGGCACGTACGGCATTGAAGAGAATTACATTTTGTATTCTGACGACGGATTTTACCGACGGCGGATTTTTATCGACGCGCCGGATGGACTCGCGCTTCGCGGCAAATCCGTCGTGTGGCGCACATCGCGCAGTCGCCATCTTAGAGTCGCGTCGTTTCGAAGCAGCTCCGGTCGGCTCCGCGCTGCTCCGCGTTTCGCCGATCCTTTCGTATCGAAAAATCATGTCGCGCTTGTAGCGAGAGCACATCCCGAGAAGGTATCCACGTAAACTATCGACGTAAAGTATAATTTAAACTGTAAGATGCTAGATGAACCGTTCCTCGTACGAGCAATTCTCGACGCGGCATAGCGACGAAGATCAGTGCGAGGAATGTCGCCGCGTCGTTTCCCGCGTCAGCTCTTTGATTTAGAAATTTAAATTCGCGCTCGAAGGGAATGCCGATGGCAGCGAATTTGACGTTGGAGAGGCAGCGAGAAGTTCAGTGTACGAGTGCGCATAGCAAGTTGTTTTTTTTTAATAATTTTTAGATTTTACGCGTGCATAAATGACCCTTCGCGCCGCATCGAGTTCGCGGGGCGTCGCGCGTCGTCGTTAAGTTAGCCGCCGCGTCGCTCTACGATTTTTCCGCTCGTACAAAAATTTGTAGCACGCACGGCACGTTTTCGAAAATATCTCAAATTTAGTGTTGAAGAATAGAACAATCGATAATGCATAAACGCGCGATGGCAAGTTTCGTGAGGAGAATCGATTTTGGCGTGTGAATCTTCCATGTCGTGCGATGGCTCGGGCATCGGTGCGAAGTTGCCGTCGTCGCGTTCGCTATACGTCCGCGTTCGTTATTTGCAAGTGTATCGCGCGACTCACGCGTGAGAGGAATATCGGGAATGTTGAATTCAGTACCCGATCGATCGATGATCGCACTACAAGGACGTAATTGAGGATTTTTGCGATCGCAGGATCGCCGCAAGCCGGACGTCAGCAGCAAATCATCCCCGTTGGAGACTCACGAGAGGATAAGCGGAAGGATCATCTCGTTATCCCCATCGTTCCCGAAAGGCATCGTGGCGACGAGAGGGAATTGCTGGGCAAGGTATTGGCTGGACGATCATTGCGACGCTAAGGTAAGTGATAGCGTTTGGAATTTCTCTACGATATTTTTTAATTTTTATGCGCTCCAGTTCGCCCAGGGTCAAGTTAAATGATCTATTTTACCATCTAGAAGAAAATGATATCTTCCTAAAAAAACATGTAGAAAGAAAACGTAGATTGATATTTATTGTACATGAAATTTGTTTGTGTTAAATTCTTACAGTCAGCAAAAATACCTTATGTAAATTTTGTTTTATTATAAAAATTTGCAATTTAACTATTACACGAAAATACTACAAAATAATACTCAACATAAAATAACTATGACAAACGATAGCTTTCGGTATTCATTACAAAAAAACTTGTCAAATTTATCAAAGGTTATTCTGTTCTACATGTTCTATTCATATTTCTCACTACTGTTCGATTTCGTGAACCACCCCGTATAGTGTATACCGCGCACACTTTATTATTCTTCTCCGCGTTATAAAGTATCTTACAATTGGATTGCAGCCGTTTATATTCTGTCACGACGTGATATCATAAGTACTGTTAACAATGTAATTCATTTCGAACATCTTATATAAGAATTCGAAGTATCAATCTTTAATTGTACACACTTTAACTTATTGTGTAAATAATTTGGCAAACCCGAACGCGCCGAATGACTTTATAAACCGAAATCGCAAAAATTATTACAGTCTATAAGTGCCGAAAAAGAAAAGGCATTATCAATGACTAACAATTTAAAGGCTTTCGCTTAAATATTGTGAGACACTGAAGGTTGTCGGAAACAGATCGGGCGACCGACGAGATAACGAAATATAATATTTCGGCTAGAAGACGCTGAGTCGCGAGCGGACGTATTTTTCTCGTGTACGATTTATATATTGTAATAAAATTTTAATTTAATCGCACTTAAAAGACTGATTCATAAATCGATCCCGCGATCGGATATAAATATAACCGCATATCCGCTCCTCATAATTCCAGCCGAAAAAATAAAACCTCTAATAACAGCCAAATCACAATTTTACACAGCCTGAACATTTCGTTTATATCCTACGATAAATTTTCTTATAGTCCTATCTCTTTTTCCTTATTCTCAATTATTACTTACTTTTTGTTCTAAATCGATTCCTCCATTTCTCTTAGCCCTTCCTTTTCGCTCTTCACTAGATCTGCCAGTATTAGACTGAAGTAATGCGTGTGCTTCTGCTTGTATATAAGCATCCTCTCCCACCCTACTGAGTCATCCCTTTCATCTCTGTTCTTTTTATTCAAGTTCTCGTGTTTATCAAGGGAAAAAAATTAATTTCAATCACTTTACGGAGATGATTTTCTATGAAAATTTCTAATAAATATATAACCGAAATCAGTTTTTTTTTGCGCAGCGTGGCGAAAGATAAATAAGCACATCTTCCGCGTTATTTTCGATTATTTTACATTTCATTAAACAATGTCATACGATTGATCTGAGCGCGCAGGAAACGTCCGTAGAACAGGTAGGAAAGGTTTTACAGAAAAATAGATCCTATATGTTTTACATTTATTCTCTTCAATAATATAAAATTACGTTAATAACACGAGACGCGTATGTTACAATATTTCACAATGTAACATGTCTTCGACACAATTGTGGGAAGCGATTGAGAGATCGTCGCCTTGCACACGTTTAAATCGCATCGAGCCAGACATGTCATCGCGGAAGTACCGATACGAGTTACATTTTGATACCACAAGTGGCGGATTCTTGACGGATTTAAAACTAATATTCCTCGGAAACGTATTTTAAAAAGAGTTTGATTTGTAAATATGTAATTTAATTATCAACATAAATAATATTTTTGTCAGTCATTAAAAAAAAAACAGGAATATACATTAAAAAAATTAACAGATTGTACTTCGATTGGACAAAATAACTTTTTGAAGTTCACAAGAAAAAAATAATCGAAAACTTCAGTTCAAAAAGTGATACAATGGCACACAACTGTACGCCAGGAGTCTCTCAATCCTCGAATTACATTAGCGTATTGTTAGATTCGTTGTTCGAATTATCTTAATTAGCCACTTCGCGAAACCGAAACATGATTATCTCGGTAGAGACTCAACCTCGTGCTATTTGCTTCCAAAATTAAAAAAAAAAAAAAAAGATCGAAGACTTCGCTTGAGAAAACAATCGCGCGCATTTTGTTATAACCGTTGTAAATTAGATATACCTGGTATAAATAGTACGAGAAACTATATTACAAAAATATACAGCGTCAGTGAAGTGACGCCAGTTACATCCACATTAAACCATCTCAACAATTATTGATCTCTTATCTCTATACTAATTACATAAATACATCTTATATACATCCTTCGCGTATGATTCGTGTTAGTTGGTAGAAACAGTATTGCATACATGTGAACTCACTACCTTGAATAAAAAATACGGAAAATAATAATATCGCGCGACGGACAGTGGTATCATTCCTCTTCGTATTTGACCTGTCAGAAAATTACGTTTATGCAATTTATTTTATGCTGTGTCGACAAGACACCTTTTAAATAAGGGTAACTAAACGGTTGATTATGAAGATCTTAATTAGCCGAAAAGCGTTTACAATCAGCGTAATTCCGTTAACCACCAGGCCTCTACACACAACTGAACTTGACACCTGAAAATTTGACAGCAATGTAAATTCTGAGATAAAGATTCGATCTATTTTTACATATTTATACACTCATAATTGCGTTAATAATTGTCTTTATGTTTTTATGATCTAAAAAACACTTTTTGCAATTAGTTTTGAAATTTAACATTTTCAAAACGTTCTTTCTTTAGCGGGCATTTCGAGAGCAATGTGTACATTTTATTAAATACTCTCGGAACCAAAACGCGCTCGATCGTACAATTATATTTAACGGTTTAAAAAGAATTAAATTTTTGTACCATCGTCACTGGAGTAGCAGTTATGACAGTGGAGCTTATGATTTCGGACGCGCACGTCCGTTCCCATCAATCCATCGCCGAGACGCACATGGCATACGCAACATTTGAAGCATTCCATATGATAAAACAATCGTAGACTTTCGATTATCATCGCAGCGCCTCGACCTGAGAAACGCAAGGATATTTACGACAATGAAAAGATGTTTTAGCTTTAATCTACTACATTACCTAATTCCTCCCCGCAATGCGAACACTTCTTCTTTCCGCTCACGCTCAGCATTTTTTCCTGATTCCCGTTGTTATTCGCGATTGGCGCATGTTGCGATTTTTGAGACTGTAGGGTGTACTGTGGCGATTGATGTTGCACAGTCAAATGTTCTTGATTGTGAACTTGCTCTGGCCTAAAAAAAAAGAAAATATTTTTTCGTAAATCGTAAGAGAAAAAGCTTTTCTTTTTCTTTGAATAGAAAATCTAGCTGGAAGTTTAAATATAAATAAGAAAAAAAATATATTTTATTTTTCGATTATTGAAAAATTTTGTTTATATATTATTAAATATTAAATATAAATGTCTATACTTCATAAAATGAATTATTTTATAAATCGCCGAATACTGATTAAATATACCTTCGCCTTGTTAAAAGAGGTTTCTCATGCGTTTTATTCTGTACCCTTTGCGTTAGAGTTTGTATGATAGAATCGGGTAGCGGTTTGCTATCTGTGCGAATTGGAGCATTATATGGTACGGAAGTACCAGTTACATGCGGTTGAGATTTTCGCGCCGGTGATCGTTGATTTCTCTCATTAATCCTCCTTTGTTCCGCCTCCTGTTGAGAAATAATTGAGATAGAAAAACTTATCTTACGTGTTAGATGTTAGATATTGTATTATACATATTAGATTTTGTGAGGAATTCAATAGAATATATCATAAACATTGGAATAACTAACAAATTAAATCTTCAAAAAAAAAGAATGAAAAATCCTATTTCAACAACAATAAATTATTTATTCGACAAATTTTTTGTAACGAATTTAATGTGCCTTTCAAAATTAGAGAACTATATAAAGAAAATAATTTGTACGCCAATTAATAGAAATAATTCTAGTACGCACTTGAATGAGCCAATGTTGATAGTTCACATCGTGAGCTCCTCTTGGCACGTCACTCTTTCTTCGCTGGACCCACTGATCACCTTGAACAATTCGTGGACGCGGTACTGCGCTTAATGCCTGTAACGTCTGTCTAGACATTTGCTGGCCAGTGTGATTCCCAAGTGTCGTTGTCGGTCCGTTCTCCCGAATCGATGAGTCCACTTGTTGGGGAATCGAATCCGCGGATGGTATACGGCTATTTCTAAACATTCCCCATTAAATAAAGAAATATATAATTACCATGATCTATCTTCTTATCATACAAAAAAATTTTACTTTATAATTTGGATAGAATTTAACTAAACATTTATTATACAGTAAAAGAAAATTTAATACAATAATAGGTATCCATATACATGATTTATCGTACCTGATTGTAACATCTCTTTGTCTTTGATCTAGCATACGTGGTTTAGTAAGTGGGATCGATGGTGGTGGTGGTGGTGGTGGTCTCCTTCGTGGCACATCTTGAAACTGCAAATTCGGCATCGAAGATCTGTAATTCACTGCGGGCGTATGATATTTGTACTGTGGCGTGTTTTTAATAGAGTTCTGCGCAACATCCTGCAAGGATTTCCACTGTTCCTGTAATTGTTCTGCCAATCTAAGCTGCTTCTGCTCGCGATAGGCCAAATTATTGCGTTGTCTCTTTAATTCTTCCTGCTCCAATTGCAGCAGTTCCCTTTCCACTCGTAGCACTTCCTAAAGGGATAACATATTGATATATTTATAATTGCATTTTTTATTGCATTTACATGCACGTTTAAAATATTAGACACAAACGTTTCAAATTCTATCACGATAATTCTAATTCTTCTCTTTTAAACAAAGCAATTATTTTTAAAACAGCAAAAACTCTAAATATTTCTATGAATAAATAAATTTAATTCAAAATGTTAGTTAAATTTATTTGCTATCTTCGCGATTCTATAGAACTTATATTTCTTCACTAATAAAATTACATATCTTTCTTATATGTGATTAATCTATTCGTTTAACATACTATTATGCAAAGAGATCACATATCGAATCAAGCTGAGATTAGTTAAGATATCCCGATAGAAATCTAAAAGAGGCAGTAATAAAGAGGTACAAAGAATTCCTCTACGAATATATTTATGTAAAAGTTCCGTGCAAACAAGCGACTAAAACAGTGGTGAAGACAATTGTTGTCTTACCCCGGAAGGGAATTCATCTTCGTTGCTGCTCAACCCAGCACCGACCAATGCCTTGCTCTGCGAATAATTAGCAACGATCCCTCTATCAATATTTACACTACGCTGTATACTTGATTTTGCACCACACTACTGGAACGATCGAATCCTTCGGGCAATGTTGCAATAATGAACGTGACTAATGCGCAATTTTTCAATGTACAAATGACAGTAGTTATTAAAATAAAACGAACGGATAAAGAAAGTATCGACGAGAAATCACACGATAACATCGCCCCAAGGATGATATTTCCAAGCTATATCGGTTAAAAATGCGTGCCTCGGCTAAGAAGAAATTTGTGCATAGCTTCAAGTTTCCCCGGAAAAAAAAAACAAAACGATTGACATAGAAATGTCATAGAAAGAATATACTCGGAAAATACCTTGTTCTAAATTCACTATCTACTTGTAAAAAAAATCAGCCTTTTTTTCCTCGTTAGTTTCGCGTTCGAAGAATATATAAGAACCAAATGATTCGCCTTACCTCTTGCTCGCGAATTTGACTCTCCATCGTTCGGATGCGCATCTCCTCCTTGCGACACGCATCAGCGACTCTCCGCTCTTTCTCCTCGATCTCGTTCTGCATCCTCAGTTGTTCTGGCTGCGTCTCAAGCTCCTCGTCCTTTCGCTTGTCTCCTATGTACTTCGCTTCCTCCTCCGTCGTTCGCGCCTGGGTCTCCCGCTGTTTCGCTGTCTCATCATCGTGCTGCTGTTGCAGTGTTTGCTCGTGTGAGGAAGCATCTTCCTGCTTGCGTGCGTTGTCGTCCCTCTTGCGAAATGCGTCCTCGTTGCAGCGTAATATCGCCTCTCTCTCCAGCTGCATCTTCTCCTCCTCGAGTTCGCGCAGTTTGTGGGCCAATTTTTCCCCCAAGTCACTATAGCGTCACCAATGTATCAGACAATTTGTCCGTCCCAATATAAATTAGGTTCTTTTAAAATCGAATAAAATCCAGAAGATACTTTAAAAGTTTAATATCTCTCGGTTTTTTTTTTTTTTTTTTAGATATTTTGTCTCTTAAATTTTTTATTCGCAGAAAAAAATAACAGAAAAATTGTACGCCACGATCATATTTATCCGTACCTGTTGTATTCGCGATTATCGCCGTATCGCCACTGTTCTTCCTTCTCGAGAACTTCAATGATCTCCCGCTCTTTCTTTGTGATTTCGTCCTCCTCGGAGGAAGTCACACTGGCACCGAAAGGCTCGCTGCTCTGCCTGCTGTGCTGCGACATGTCGGGGCTAACCGGCTGCTTCGCCCAGTCCTCAACGTGTCCTAATTCGACTCCGGAGTCTCTCTCGTGGCTCGAATCCTGCTCGTAGTTACTGTCGGTGTCGTACGAGCGACGATGGAGTTGTTCGATGCGCCTCTCCTCGGCGAGAATCGCCGCCATATCCGGTGGTTTCGTCAGCGTTAACTCGGGTTCGAGATCGTCGTCGTTGATCTGCTAATTAACAAAATCGATATTGAGAATGTAAATCTATAAATCTGTTAACTTAATGTGATTATTTTTAAAGCAACCGAGATGTAGGAAAATGGCGGATCTCGGGGTGGATTTTTGTGCTTACCCCCTCGATACCGAGGAAATCGGAGCGTCTCGTGCGCAACTCTTTCTTGATTCTACGAGTGGAGTTTAATCTCTTGAGCGGCTCCGGCGGGCGATTCTCATCGTCGCTGACGTCCACTGGAGGCGGCGGTGGTTTCTCCTTCGGGGGTTCCACGCTCGTCGGTGGACTCAGAAGGAAAGGTTGATCGGCAATTATCTCCTCGTCGTTGGCCAGAGTTAGCGGTAGAATCTATAAGTAACAAAAAAAACATTTATGTGCGTGTTACGAATCTCTGAATTGTCTCATAAAATTCTATTAAACATTGTATTAAATGGGATTTAAATTAAGGTGTAATTTGTAACTAACTTGTTTGGAATTCGGCGAGGGTGGACTCGGGATATTCGGCGCGTCGGCCAAACCGACTTCCTGCTTGGTTAAGCTTAGGTTCGTCGGTCGTTCCAGCGGATGGTCGGCTGTCGGCGTGACAACCGTGGCGTTAGGCGCGTCGTGCACGTCAATGTCGGCGTCGCACTTTTTCATGGTGACGATAGCGGCGGCAGCGGGCATCCCGACGCTCGTCAACATCTCCGCCGTTTCCTGCTGCTTGTGCTCGACTGCGGGAGCCGCTGGGCGGTTCGCAACGGCGGCGGCAGCGGCGGTGGTGGCGGCGGCGGCCGCCTCCTCCTCTTGGTCCGCTTTCTCGATAACAATCCGTTCCTGAGGAGACGAGTCGCGGTGTAGCCGAGTGCGGAGTACGTAAAATGCAATTTCGCGCCATGTCCCGAGATTTTGCAACGCTACATTCTATGCAAATCGACGGATGATATAGCGTCTGGAATAGCGTTTCTCAAATCCGCGAAGATCGGAGACGGACGAATTCTGATTAAAAGAACAAGATCGAACTTTCTTTCGGTATTTCGATCGCGCTTATTATTAGTGTTCGAGGATATATGAACGTATCTTTCGATTAATTGACGTATCGGCAATATAAGAAAAATATTTTTAAAACTGCTTTTAATTAGGGTAATCACGACGCGAAGATAAATGAACTATGACACTGCGATATTGTGATGATTAAATTATATAATTGAAAAATATCGCCTCTCGGTTTCTAATTATCCTAATCAATTCGAATATTTAAGAAGTGTCTAGGAAAATGTTCCGTAATATGTATCAAACTAGAGCGGTTAAATATGAAAGTGATGTCATAGAGCTCGTCAGTTAATGCGAGATAACTATACGAGACCGCATTTTTTCTTAAATTGTAGCGACAAGAAATCGTACTGCGACACTTTCGAGTTGAAATTACGTTGAAATTTTTATGGCTCGTGCATCTGCGTCCGCGGATCCCTGATGACGCAATCGTTAAGTGACATAATATAATGCGTGTACTTCGACGCCGTGTACTTCACCGCAATTGTGATCGGCATATCTTCCCAGAGGTGGTGATTGCACGGAGAAGAAAAAAAAAACGTCGGGAGAATGTCTCGCACGCATACCAGATGTGAAATTCCTGCTGTGGGAATACGCGGGCGCGTTTTACCAGGCCGACGCGACGCATCGTTGCGTAATGTTACGCATTCGATGGGCCTCTCGCGGGAGAGCTCCGTAATCACGTGCGCTTTTCTCCGCGATTTGACGCGCCTTTGAAGATGTACGGAGCTCGTATTACGATATCAACGGACTCGAGGAGCACTGATTTCGGGTAATGATCCGGATAACGACGATCAAGATTCGTTGTATTTCTCGCGCGCATTCGTCACGGATCTCGTCACGATCGTGAAAGACTTGAAAGATTAATCTCGTTTATTGCGGATTCTTCGAATACTCGCGAAAAACGTATTACCGCATGTAGCGCTCAATTATTAAATGCAGATCGTTGCAAAATCTTCGTGTAGCGTTGTTTTGTAAAATATATTTTAATATAAATATTATTGCAAAAAAAATAATAATTTGCTGACCGATGATGCGTAATCGGTAAAGCATCGTCGAATAAAAGCTTATCAATTATATGTCAAGATGATGTGAATGTGTTACATGCACTGTGTAACGCCCTTTTTTTTTAATTAAAAAGAATGAGGCATTAAGCGATTAAACAGAAATGCAAATAAAGAATAAAATGATTAAATGCGTCTGAAATAAGAGAAATGTTCATAGTCAATTTTAATCGAATTGAAACACAGAAGAATTGAGGTCAATCAAACGTTAATATATCAGTATAGAACTATAGTTAAGATAAATTTAATTCTCTACAACTCTTCTCATTTCCACTCCGTTTCTCAAAGCAAAATATTCATAAAAGGAAAAAAAATGAAAAAATTGCACTTCTATGTAACTTTTAGATTCTAGATAACATCATTATAAGCTAGTCAGTACTCTTTCTCTTTTTCCTAAAAGCGGATACACGAGTGAGCGTTCTTAAGCTGTCAAAGAAAGACTACAAGTGCCAAGTCGATCACGCGATCTCTTCAAATACTACACGGCAAAATAAAATTAAAAAAAAAACTCACACTTCACTAACCCACACACGCACAACCGTTCGGTAGTACCTCTTACCTCACGAGTCATACTCGCAAATCGCATGCAGGTGACGAGCACACACGGGAAAAACTACGTTCACTTTCTCAAGTTGCAAGCGGATCGTGCACACGCCTCGAAAATTGCACAGCCACTAGAGATCACCGTGATGTCAGGTGTTGTCGGACTGATTAAAGCCGGCTGTGAGCGCGCACACGGCGCGATAAGGCGTCTTTCGGCGATCGAGGGAGAGAGAAAGAGAGACATAGATAAGAGGGATATCTAAGCCTCCGCTATCGAGACACGAGTTCTCCGATGGAGTGCAAGTGCGATGCGATGTGGAATTTCGTCAATCAAATACAATCGTCCGTCTCTAAGTAAGACTGATAAGGAAGGAATTTTGAGATCAGGGCCTACCTTATCCCCGTTTATGAACAAATCGGGCACGTGTCTAAAATTTCGATTAAAATGACAATGAAGACAAGCGAAGATACTATCGATAGATCGACCTGAATGTTATTTTTATCTTTATTTCGGATTATTAAAATCGTCCCTTGTACAGGAATGACTTTGAATTATTATGCCTCTTTTCTCTCTTGCTGTTCCTTTTTAAGACGAGACACAGAGAAAATCGGATCTCGCGTGGAGAACTTCCGAAGGTAGGCCCTGAATCCGAACGGGGGGCTATCCGTACAGACATGCGTGTCTCTCGTGAAATTGCCATTCGTTCTGGAGTGTACTAAAAAAAAAGAAAGGAAAAAAAAGAAGCCGTTCGTCGACACGGTGTTCCACACACCGGGGGCTAACACACAGCTCAAGCAAATCGCTGCTTTGCTCGAAGCAATCAAGAGTACATGACGTCTTACCTCTTCGGTGTATCGAGGACCGAGAGACGCGCGTGGAAAGGAAGCGATCGCGCGCCGACAAACGTGCGACAACCGTTGATGAAAATATCGTTGACGGGCGGCGACAGTAGGCTCGTATGGTTGCTTTTTATTTTACGGCGCGTTCTTTATTAGTAATTAACTGTCACCGCGAGTCTGACCTTCGACCCAGCGCGTCACGCGGCCGATATATCCATCGTACTTTGAACGCGGCTGTTATTAAAAGAGCATATTTATGCGCCCTATTAACCACGGAGATGAACTGCATCGAGATTTGCAGCGACAAGCTATTTGCGTTATTTAACGTCTTGACAGATCTCGCTAATAATTAATTTTCCAAAATTCACGGTCACAAATGAATCAATCCATTTGCTGAATTTCGATGAATTCGAATTGAATTGATCTGACGTATTAAAATTTGCGGACGTAAATTCTTTTAAAACAATCCAGGATTAATCTCTTTTCGATAACCACCAATGTGATAAAAAAACAAATGGTAAAATTTAAAAAAGAAATTAGAAGTTAAAAAGCAAGATAAAACTTTGTTATTCCGCGCGATGGAACTCACGTGAATGTATGATACGAGAAAATAATACAGACATAGCAGGTTTCGTTAGCCAGTGTATCTTATATTTCATCGTTGCTCGTTTTTTTTTCTCGGTTGATCGCTTATAATCCATGAGAATTAGTCATAATCGCGGATTTCCGGAGAGTTCTCCTTGTAAAGTTCGCTATACAAATCGTCACAAGTTATTCGAGCGTTTCCTTGGAGAACGCCCCTGCGATATCGCCGATATATATTCTAATCGACGTGCTAGAGACTTAATGCACGATCGTAATTAAGATGAGGGGCAATTGAACGTGTTATCACAATGGTTTTATTCCCGCTTACGGTCGATATCGGCGGTCAACTTTAATCGACCGTTCCGTTCGCCTCGCCAGGCTTTCGCCGCAATCGCGGAGGGGATAGAGTTAAACTGCCGATTAAAGTCAATTAATGCCGAGATCGGCCGTTATACGTCCTTCCTTAAATGGCATATGTATACGAGATAGCGCTTAGGCCGTCTGCTGCTGTTACGTTCGCAGACATATACGGTATAATACCGCAATTGTGAACTCTATTACAAGTCGTTGCGCCGCCGTATATATATATATACATATTATAATACGCGTAGCAGCAGTTTCACGGTAGAGTTTCTGCATAAACCCGATCTAAATCTATACGTATCGTAACCGGAGATTTACCTTACAGCTTCGCACCTGCGCCTATTTACATGACTAGCGGCTGGCGTATATATACGTAGCCTAAGTTTACGTAACTTCACGCTCAATGAGCGTAGAGACACGACAGCGATTCGTTAATGTTAAATTAGGGGTAACAGTTCCTCCCTCCGGAGGAGTCCTCGAGCTTCCCGAAGAACTGGGAGCGGAACTCTCGGAACCCCGGGTGACGAAAGCGTTAAACGGAAAAGAGCCGCGCAACCGCGCTCAGCTGACGTGGAAAACGCGTATATGTTTTCGAACCGTTCGATCCTCGTCGACTAATATAGGCGGCAGTTGGCACGAGGCTAAGGTCAAAGCGACGATGGAGTTGTTCCTGGAACCCTCGTTTCTCTCAGCGTTTCACACCCTCGACACACCCTCGCGATTCCTCGCGTCCGACGGGGTGGCTCTACGTAATACTACTAAAAGTATCTAGAGCACGGCTTGTCTAGAGGCTGATCAAAAGCGGAGGACTATTGCGCGGATTGTTATTGTCTTATATATTAGAAAAGATGGTCCTCGCGTCTTTATTTTTTAGGAATTTTTCGAGGCGTTGCCGGCTTGCTGATCGCTTCTAACCTCGGCGACGGGGGTCGTCGTCCGCTTGTCCACCACGTTCACGACGCGGTTCACCGTGATGAACGGCGTCACCGGCGGCGTCGTGGGCGCCTTGCCCTGAGGTACCACCACCTTCTCGCACACCTCCACCACAGTGCGACGTCGTTCCGCAGGCGGCAGCGCGTCGTCGTGGCGTCGCACGCTTGCTGCGGGTAGCCTCGACGTCGTGGGTGAGAGCGGAAGTTCCGCTGAACTACTCGTTTGCGGGGAAACGGATGAGGAGACGGTCTCGACGGTCGCCGTTTCGGACGGTCTCCGAATCGGACAGGGAGACTGATTATTACTCGCCGAGGGTTTGTTACTCGCGCTGTGCGCCTTTGTGGGCGAAGCTTTGGGAACGAGCGAGGTCAAGACAGAGTCGGAACTCGTTGGCGAAGACTTAGTGGTTTTGCGAGAGAGAGGGGTGGGAATCTTGGACGTGGGGCGGCAGGACGCAGGCTTGGAAATCGGGCTGGTTTCGGGGGGAGACAGGCTAGGGGTCGTCGTCGTTCTGACGGAGGGAAATGACAATTGATACGTCTCCGCGCCGGGAATGGTGTCCGAACACGGTTGAGATTGAGAGAGAATGGATAGATTTTGCCGCTTCGCTTGGCCAACGAATTTCGGTCTGGCTTGCTCGATAGAAAGTTTCAGACTGGCCGATACTATGGATTCGCTGGGACTCGGCTCGGAATCTGTCTTAAACTCGACCGCGTCTTTGCCGAACGCCCGTAGTTTCGAAAGGCTTTCGGGAATTGTCGTTTCTTGTCGCAGAGGTATTTTGGGACTCGGATGAATGATCGCGCGAGGCACGGAAGTATGCGAACGAAGTGCGTTAGAATTAGTAATGGTTTCTACGCGCGCTTGCGGCTGTGATTTGTTAGTTGACAGTTCCCCAGAGATGTCAGCAGTACCCTACAGAATCAGAGAGTTACAACCCGATATGTAGTTGTCCGAAACCCATCACCAAAAAGAAGAAAAGAATACAAAGGATGTAGTAAAAAATATAGAAACAGTGCTCAATGTCCAATTTTTTAAGATGTAAATAGACGTATCAGAAAAAGATAGTTAATAAAAGTGAAATAAAATTGAAATTGCTTTTCTCAAATATGGGCGTAAGTTTAAAAGTTTTTCGATTTAAAAGTTATTATGCCTACATTTTAAAGATTTAAAATAGAAATTATGAAATGAATATGAATTGCTTCTCATCGAATATGTGATTTAAATATGGGAAAAATTTATATTACTTAAAATGCGAGATTTCAAAAGCGCTTCGATGTTTCCCTTACCTTGTTCACTGCTACTGCCTCCCGGTTGGTGAACTGTGAGTGAATAACCGTCGCGGTGTCGTTCGGCGCCTCCACCGTCGTGCCCGACGCCAATGCGTCCTCTTGAATGACAGACATAGTCTTGATCCTCTCCTCAATGGCAATTTCTCTTCGTTCGACGACCGCGCCGCCATGCACCATCTCCTCATCGATCGGCTCGTCCGCTTGGCTGACCGAGCAACTTACGTCCGCGGTATGGATACCCGAGTCCTCGCGATCCGTGTCGTTCAGGAGTTCCGCGGACGACGACGAGGCGGGATACTGGCGTCCGTAATCAAGCTCCTCGAGGCTTTGCACGCGCTCGAAGGTGTCCGGGCCGCTGGACGCGTCCGCGTCCAGGGAGTCCAGACTTCTGTGGAAGACGGCTCGCGGTACGCGGTATTCCGAGTCGGGCGACGAGCTCCTCTCGCTGGGCGTCGACGTGTCGACTCTGTTCTCCTGATCGCGGAAACAGAGCGGATGCTTGCCGACGTGCGCGGGTCCTCGTTTGTCCGTCGTGTCCTTGCCTCTGGCGGCGTCCAGCGCGCTGAGACGATCCTTGATCGTCCTGGCGGTAAGCTCGCCGTTGTGCGAGCGCGACTCATTCGTCGTGGTCGGCACCGAGGACTCGTCGCTGCTGCTGTACTTCTCCAGAGTGGACAGTCTCTCCCTGAGAGGTCTCACCGTCTCTATATCCTCCGTGCTGAGCTTGCGGTGAACGGAGCTCTTGCTCTCTCGCTCCGAAGCTTGCTTCTCCAAATGGGTGAGCCTCTCCCGGATAGAGCTCATGTCGCCGGACAATCGGTTGAGAGTCTTGTTAGCGAGCTTATTATCGCTGTTCTCCGTCTCGTACTTCTGTCTCTCGAGACTCGACAGCCTCTCTTTGATCGACTTCGTACCGGTGAAGTCACCGGACAGCCTGTTATTTGTCTTGTTGTCGTTGCTCTTTTGCGACGCCTTCTCGAATACCTCGCGTCGCTTCAGTATGTCCACCTTCACCACCGACAGCGGGGACTTGCTACTGTCGTCGCTCAAGTTCGTCTTCGAACCGTTCACTGACGATTTCGCCGCCTCCAACTTAAAATCGATCCCGGTTAAGGATTTCCGCGGTATGTTTTGCGACACTCTCGACACGTAACCGCGAATGGCGCCTTCGTATGTATACTCTTCCGGTTCGGGTGAGCTTGTTGTCGCGGTGGTACCGGAATCGTACTCCTGATTGTGATTCAGATTACTATGAAAACCGCCACTGAACATTTTTCTCGCGGTAGACGTCGCCGTCGGCGTCGTTGTCGTCGGTGCCACTGTCGACACCATTGCCGTACTAGTATCCGCGGTCGTCGCCATCGCTGTCGTTGTTGCTGATGCAATCGTTGTTGTTGCTGATGTGGTCACGACTGTTGTCGTCGTCGTCACCGTTGCGATGCTCGTAGATGAGGTCATATCGGTGGCGTTATCGACGTCCGAATGGCTCTTTTCGATCTCGCTGTCTCTATCGCTCTACAATTTGAAAGAGCGAGTGTAACATAATGTTATCGAACAATAGGCTGTTGTTCGTGAGAATAGATATCTACAAAATTTTGCGCAGTAGCACAAAGGTGTATTTTAATGTTTAATTTGTAATATTACTCTTCTCTTATCGATTTAATATAGAAATGACTATTGATCGCGCGACGGACAACTTGAGACTAAATAAATGTTTGTAGGTGACACATAACGTCAATAAATGTAAGAACATATAGCGATCATGGTCATGTGATTATACAGTTTGGTGAGATCATTGTGATATGGCGATAAGTTTTGAATTTACGAGTCAATAGTCTTGTAAGGATTTATGAATGTGCTAAAAAAAAATGTAAATCAAAATTTTGTAATTAATCGTAACGATAAGTTCTCGTCAATTTGCGTAAAAAATAAAAAAATATATTTAAACATAAATTAATAATTCAAAAAATTAATTTTTCTATTTATAAAATTGATGTCAATAGATTTAACGGAATTGAAATTACTATTCTTCTATAAAAGCGAATCGACGTGCGTATCACGTGTTTGAATAAATGCGTACCAGAACACTATGTGTGTCGTCATGCGTATCGCCGCTGACCGAGCTCTTGCCGCTGCTGGTACCGATCCCGAGGTCGCTGAGATCATTCGCATCCTCGTCGTTGTACATGGCCAAGCTGATGCTCAGCTTACGGCCTCTGTTACCGCGCTCCTCCATCATCTCTGAGAAGGTTTTGTTCCGACGACGCTGACGGTCGTGCTCCTCTAACTCGAGTTTCTTCACCTCCACCACCCGCTCGATTATATGTTCCTGCCGCTTCCTCCGGCTACTCTTCCAGTTATCCAAATTCTATGGATGGAACGTTCCGTTTCATTATTAAGAAAACCGCACACTAACTTTTAAATAAAGAAATGTATAATAATCTATGAAAATATATGATATTTAGTTAACTTCGATAAGAAATTTTACGTTTGTGAATTTTGATAATATTTAATTTGGTTAATTATTGATGGTTTTAAATTTTCAATAAAACAAATAGTAGATATATTAGATGAAATATTAGAAGAAATAGTAGATATATATTTTTCTGATGATGACGTAATAAGTTAATCCGCTTTGTAATATTGCATTTCAATGAAAAAGATTTATAAAGGAAACGGAGCAATTTTTTGCATAAACATTTTTCAGCTGAAATATAAATTTAAATGCGTGATTGAAAAAAAATTAAAGCTAAAACTTGAGATACAGCGCAAATACGAATTGTCGAATCATAATACTTATCTCTTTTAATAAGGATGACTTTGAATTTACTCACCGATTGCCAATCCTCAGGATCATCGCGGACTTCCTGTTTAATTTTCTTCACCTCTTGGACTTTTTGTAGTTGCTCCTGCGCGGTTCGATACAGCGAACATGGTCCGACTTTAACGAATTGTAAAGGATTGGTCGCTTGCTTAGGAGGCGTCTTCAAGGTTGTTTTCAATTTTGGTGGTTCGTGCGTCTGCTGTAAAAAAAATTAGAAGGTCATATTCAACATATTTCTTTTCATGCGTTTCATACATCATCGAACATCTTGCAATCGCAAAACAATTTAAGATACTTAAATAAGATGATAATCTTAATTCAAGCAACAATTTATAGATTAAAGTGGAATAGTTTGTAGACATTTTTCTATAAACATAAGCGTTTTGAAATGTTGCTTGATTTGAATCAAGAAAATAAAAAAAAATTGTTTTCAAACCGCAGAACTGATTTTTTTTAATTATAATTTTTTTTTTAATTAATTATTATTTGTGTATTTGTTTTGAATATAATCGCTTTTTGAGAGAAAACAGAAAAAATTTGCAACGAATACTAACCACTCTTTCGTTTCGCCGCTCGGACGCGGCGGTTTGCGACGAAGCAGGCATCCTTCGCGCTTTCCTGCTTCTCTCGCTTTTTTGAGGTACTCCTCCTCTTCAATGTTGAACGACACCTGTTCGCACGGCTCGGCCCATCCTATGTCCTGTTCCTGCAAAAAACAAAAATATTAAAGATTAATAAAAAATCTTTAAATTTACACGATCAGATAATAATATACAATAAAGCTTGTCGTTCTCGATCATCTTATATTCAATGAAATATGATTAAGTTGTCAAAGTCAAATATGATTAAGTATTGAAGTAATCAAATTAATTACTTAAAATTTATGGTATTTTCAATGATATTTTTTTGAAATAGCTTGACAGTATTAATTTATGACTCTTCTTTGTATTCAATAAAATAAGAAATGAATCTCTAACAATGCGAATGATCTATCAGATATATATTTCGCCTTAGTTAGACTTTCATTTATAGCAGATGTTCGCCTTGAATCGAGAATGTTTATCGCCTTGCGCACAAATATTATCGTATTCGGTTTACGTTCACGCGTCATATCCGCTACACGTGTGTTATTTCCGAAAATTTGCTCCATTCCAAAATAATACGCATCACCTTCTCGTAGCAAAAATTGCAACGCGAACGTGCAGTAAAAAGACGAATTCTTAAATTTCTCTCAGAAGTTTCCAAAATACTTTAGGATATTCCATCATTCTCTTTCTCTAACAATTTAAAAATAACTGCATATATTATTTTTCATAAATACAAAGCATTTAATAAAAAGACGCTACGTCAACGTGTTCAGACTCAATTTTTATTAAAGGAACGATCTGAAGGCGCTCTGAAGCGATTCAAATCGTATTTTTCCCGACGACCTCACGGATGTCTACGGTACGGCACATCGAGATGCATCCGCCGATAGTGCATCTGCCGCCCGTAAGCCCGTTCGCCACGGCGGACGGAGCATGTCGCGCCGCGGTTGTAGACTTCGATACGTCCGATTGCATCGCGCGCCAGCCGATAGAATCCCTGTGTGACACCTATGACACGCGCGGCATCGCGATCATTTCAAATGACATGGTAAGGCGAACCGTGCCTACCGGCGTGCACCAAACCGCGCGCGTCACCGAGACAAGCAACACGATCGACGAGTGCAGCGCAACGCTTCAGATCCGCCGCAGATCGCTCGCGTGGAATCGGCCGAGAGCAAGCAGCCCTTTCAAAGTAGTTCTGGAGCGAACGGCGCGGAATGCAGTCTTCGAAGAAGGAAATCGACGCGAGAAAACAAAACAAAACAAAAAAAAAAGGATCGAGCGAGGAAGTCAAGGCTGGATATTTCTGTCGTTGCTTTGGCTCGTGCGCGAACGCGCGCGTAACAGGCTGCGTCTTTTCCAGCGGTCTTATTTAGTTTATCCGAGATCGCGGTGTACTCTGCAGTCGATCCGATTATTCCCGCTCGTTAAACTTTGAACATGATTTTTCATTGACGTTCGCGCTTTCATGTAAAATTTGCTGAAGACCGATGGAGCGTGATCTTCTCGACGCTCGCGTGAAGAATATAGCGCAATTAAGGCATTTAAGTGACGGCATGTATCGTGCGACGACGGTATCGCGTGTTCAGTGCGCTTATTTCCAATCGCATTTAGAAACAAGAACCTCACAAGATTGTACAAATAGTTTTTCTCTCTCTTTCTCTCCTTTCGACAGATAAAAAAAATCTCTATTTTTGACATTCGAAAATAGCGTCTACATAATAATATTCAAGAGTACTCGTTAAGAGTCATGCAAATCAATGTACAGTGAATCATGCATAAATAAAAAAAAAATTATAGAAATAAAAAATGCAATTTAAATCAATGAATAAATTATTTACGAGCAAAATAATTCACTCGATCCAAATCGATGAAGAAATAACAAGATGAGTATACACGATGCATGTGACATTCGCGTAGTTAAACATTATCTTATATAATCCACGCTACAAATTAATTAATAAGCAGCGAAACTAAATTGATACTCGTAAACACTCACACACATACATACGAAGAATTATATTCTTCTATAGGTATAATATCATCAGGTCACAATTCACAATGCGTGTCGTTGCAGCCCGATGCAGCGCGATGTGGATCGCAGTTGCAGTCGCATATGTTCTGAAAATATCGCGGCCCCGCTATTTAGTGCGCGCAACCGCGTCGAAAAAGCCGCTCGGATCGTACGGCAAATCCGCCAGTTCGCCAAAATAATCTCGTATTTTTCGAGCCTTACGAGCGCCCGTTATCCTTTTACGCAAACGCGTTTCGTTCTTTCGTCTCGGCGGGACGCAAAATCTCGTTCTCTTTTATCCCTGCACGTTAATTGTGTATTATACGTCTCATCGTTTTTTCTTCCCTGCAGCATTTTTCGTTTCGCAAATAAGACAGCAATAGCAATCGAATTAACCGCTTCAATTAAAATTTCAATTAACCGCTATGGCGCGAAAAATAATGAATTTATACGTCGTTGACTGGCAATTATGAGTTACTTCTCATTATCATCGCATTGTTAGCATTATTAAGATAACACGCTCCATAGAGAAATACAATGTTTGCTTATGATAAAATTAATACAATTAATATTTTAAATAAAAAAAATATAGCATTAATGGAAAACATTTTTAAGAAACTCAAATAATACACAATATAAAGCTCCATTCTATAGATTAAATATATTGTTATTTTGACACATTAATGAATTGTTAAAATATTTTTTATTTACAATATTACGCCACACGGAGCATATACTTCTGCTTCTTCTTTCGGCGATGTTAGTTTTATACAGAGCAAATTATCAGAGACTTTGTTGCTTTTTTTTTTTAAACTCGACCTGGATAGATTTCCACGAAGTTTCGCTCATTGCCAGGACAGCAGATAATCGTTGCGTAACCGCAGTGACGTATTCAGCTGTCGATATCGAAACACTTAATGTATACAGTTCGGAAGAGGCGATTGATTGATGCGACATCAAAATGATACGTGAATAAATATTTCCATATGATATACAAAAACGATCGACTGTTCCGAGTCGCCGCCGCTCGCAGCGAGCGTTGAACTGGACGCGTGCTTATCGCGGAGCGTCGCGACGCTTCGTCGTTTCTAACTTTTATTCTTTCTTCCAGACGCGACAGGCCATCACGCGAAGAGCCACCGTAACATTTTATGGTACATAAAACGATTGCTTTATGCCACCGAGCTCGGCTGGTCGGCTTCGGTCTTTTATTAAACTATGTCAGGGTGTTTTACGGTCATCGAGCACTCTGGTCATCATAAACTATAAACGCTAAGCTCGCGCTGCCGCCTTTATAGAACGTCCAATTCATCTACGGTTGGTCAACGTTGATCCCGGCCGTATTATAGAGCTGCTTTCTACGTTACTTTTTTTTTTAAATATCAGCAGCGCCTGTGTGTGCCGTCAAGGATCTTCAATATTGACGCGTGTGTCATAAATTAACACAACGCAGGGTCATAAATGACTACGTAAAAAAATTAAGTGGTACGAAAGAAATTAAGTGAGATACTAGTATATGCAAATATCTTGTTGAATCAGCTGAATGCGTTACGTAAAAACGTACGACGGATTAAGTGCGACACCGTCAAAATAATTCGAAAGACTATATCTTCCCGAAAATCGTTTTACATCTTTATATTGTAACGGACACGGGGATTTTTGTCGTATTTCGTAAGACGGTTTTTCAAAGCAGAAACAGCCAATCGTCGAGAGGCAAAAGTCATTTCCGCGGATAAGTAAGCTGCAGAGAGGAGGCATTCACATCAGGCGTTCTCTCCTTCGCTTGTTCGACGCCACGAGGTAAAACGGTAAGACGCGAGAGTGCCGAGATACCCTTGATGTGCCATTAGGACGAAAAGAAGCAAGTGGAGGCCTGGGATTTATAACGCGCTTACGTAAGGCTACGCGAGGCTAGACCGAGACGTCGCGCGGCAAATCCACGACGAAATATATTCGCGAAGGAAAGCAACCTTCGCGAATGCGAAGGTACAGGCTCTCCTCTCTTCTTCGTGGCGCGGCGTAGAAGCTCGGGCCGGTTTTCGCTGTCGGTCCAGACGTGCATGCGGGTCCCCGGTACATACGATCGGTACGCACGCATAGGCACACGTTTCTCGGGCCCGATCGCGTGATCGTGAGTGCCCCCTCCTACGCGTGTATGCCGCGTACGTGTGCATCCAGAAATATACGTCGGAGAAGCCGCGTATCTCTGTATATACGCTCGTACCGCGGGTATCTCGCGATTATTTATCAGGAATTTTCTAATACTGACGTCTCATACCGTACTGCTTCTTCGGCTACCATTCGCGAACACGAATGTGGAAAATGAATTGTAAAAAGGCAAGCAGGGACGAGATACCATCACGATTTTGATCAATCAAAATTAATATAAAGTTACGTCAAAAATAAAAAAAAAATTTGATGATATGAACAGAAATTATATTTATACATCGTCTGCAACTTTTATATACATGTATCTGTTTGAAAGTATACTTGAGATTTCTAATCATACGTCACGTAACTATCTTTCGTCCAATAAAAGAAGCTTCAAGATTTATCGCAACCACGATACCTCCGGCTCAAGGCCGGTTAGACCGTAATGAAGAATTGTCCAGTCGTCTTTTTTTTTTAGCAATAAACAACGACGAAGTACACGCACGCGACGGAGCACCTTGTACCCACGTCGGGGAGATACGCACGTGTGTTGGCCCGAGCCGTACAAACTGCAGGCCGCTTCGCGTGCGCCGATAGTGCGACGTAGGATGCTGCACGTACGTGTAGTACGCGTACGTGCACGTTTGTTTGCCCGTGGAGAGCGGTGGCTAGGTCACGGTCAGGGCGATGCCCTCATCTTCCCTTCGGGAGAAAGAGAGGTGGCCGCCGCTCTGTGATGCTCTAAAGCTGCATCTCGCGGGCCACGCGACCGACGACGACGACGAATCGCGCGATATAACTTGTGCGGTGTGTACGAGGTCCTCCTCCCCTTCCTCCTCCACCCTCATTCCCTCCTCGATATCGCGCGTGCTTTATATCGCGATCGAGACTCGCTGAGAACTCAATTAGAGTATGAGGGATAAATCTTCGCGGTCGCGATGGCGAAGGTAGCTC